GGCTCGCAACCCGCCACCCCTTTGTCCCTGCTCGCCACTAGCTTCCCTCCCAGAAATTACCCCAAACCTGAAGGTCTTTGCTTCCCCCTACCCCCACCTCCCCCTTTTCCTTCTGGCTTCAGAGAGAGAGAGATGGAGGCAGGGTGCTTTCAGAAGGGGACATGGTGGCAGATGTCAACGAGGATTTGGCCAAAGGAGGTTGCCAATGCAAAGCACACATGCAAAGGGTAAAAGTGCAGCTGGGAAAGCACTGAAAGGGAAGGCGTTATCCCCTGCCAGGTTAACTCAACAGTTGTGATGGTGAAACGCTTCCCTGGCAAACAGCCAAGGAGGACAGTCAACTATTAAAACTGTTGCCTTCAGGCTGTGCACATCAGTTTGCACACTGTCTAGCCAAGGCACTCCTCTGCTCCCATTGCTCTTCCTTTCACTAAGCTACCCAGCACTGCTCATCTTCACACTCTGGTGACCGCCAATACATCACACTTGGGTAACAAACAGCAGCTCCAAATGATTTTACTAGTTCTGGTGCTGTACAGCACTGAAATTAGTACAGTAGCAAAAAAAAAAACGGCAACAGCCAGTCTCTACTTCCCCACACCACATCCCTTCCCCTGGCACCACCCTCTCTCAGGCCCCAAAGGAGGGGAGGGACCCTCGGCAAGGCAGTGCTAGGTGGCCTGCAATGCTACAGACTCCTTGATAAACCCAAAATCAGGTCATCAGGATACTGGACAGGGTGGAACATCTGAAGGAATAATCAGTACAACAGAGGCTTATATCAAGCTTCAGCTATTTGTTCAGCGTAAACCTCTTTGGCCTGCTGGAATGAGAGTTTCTCATATAGGTAAGTGATATTAATAGCATGTCAAAACCCATGAGCACAGAAGCCCAAATCCCACCATATCTCCAGAAGGGAGCAAGAGGGAATAGGTGTTCCCAATCAACTCAGCTTGTAGCCTAGTAAAGAGGCTAATGGTTCAGTGGAGAAGAGCCATAGCAAATATCTTCCCATTTACCTGCAAACCTGTTGAGATGCCTTCCCCTGCTAGCAGCCTCCCCATGAAACTGGGAAGACTAGGACAAGAGCCACACAAGAGACTGCTGAGAGATTCTTTCATGCAGAAAGACAGGTGAAAGGCATATTGGCTGCAATCCCTTGAGTCACGAGCTGGGGAGAACAAGATACTCCAAGCACTTGTTTGCTGTAACCACGTGCCAGGCAGGTACAGCACCAGTGACACTCGTGGGCAAATCACCCAGATGAAAGCCCCTTCCACAATACCCCTTTCATGAGTAACCAGATCACTAGAGACAGATTAGGTGAAGCTCCCTATCTGTGGGGAGCCTGGAGGCAAGTTCTTTCAGCGTAAGTAACACCTGGGCCTCCCTGTAAACTTCTCTGCAGAGCACTCAGCAGATGCAACCCAGCAAGGGAAGTGCTCCCCATCTCTATAACACCTCCTGCTCCAAAATACGCCATTTCTCACAGGTTCGCAGCTACCTTTGGTATGGGGCAGAGCAGCCACCCCACAGCTCACAAACACTGTGCAACAGTCAGAGGGAGATATTTTCTCATCTGGAAAAGCAGAACATCCCAGGCATACAGATATGTAACTAGGACAGTTAAAAGAACCAGCAAACTGATTGCAAAAGCCCACCTTCCCGGTAACCCTTTTTACTACAATAAAGACATAAAGCAATAACTTGATCCACACCATTTCCATGGATGCCTAATTTCTTGATCAGAGGCCTAATAACCTTTGAAAGGCACAACCAACCCGAACAGTGAGAGATGGGGCGTTGTCTGATTTCAGTCTTGCAGTTAAGTGAATGCCAGGATCTCGTTAGTCTTCCCATCCCAGAAGTTGCTGGCATTTCTGAGCATACAAACAACCCATTGTTGTGAAATGAGACCCTTTTTGTCTTCACCAGCTGCAAATGAAAATCCCACTAACACCTGGACACTGTCTGCAACTCAGGTGTTGAAATTCTCTGCCCTTTCAAGAGCATACAGCATTAGGAAGGGAGGGAAATCTCTAAAGCAGTGAAAGCACTGCAGGCGAGGAAGTAAAGGCAGGTTAGAGCAGTAAAACACACTAAACACACCACCCATATTCCAAGGGCTCCCACTGCTCAACTCAGGAAGCAAGCCAGAAATAGCCCAAACCTAGACCTTCATCTGATGCAAAGCAGCTTTGCTTTATAGCAGTTGAGAATCTGGCCAAAAAAAGCTTTTTGCACAACAGTAAGAGTTTAGTTTCCAGTTGCTTTCCAGGTGATTTAGAAGCTTGCACAGACCTGTTTGCCCCTCCTCAACAACAACAGAAAATACCAAAATAAGCTTGCAATGGCAAACTGGAAAATTCCAGCATTCTCCTGCCAAGTTTGAGGAGCTAACCTCCAAAGCAGTGGGCCAGATCGTGTGGTGGTGCAAGCAGCAAGTAGATTTACACTAGTTGGATTGGTTCATGCCAGCTCCAAATCCCTCCAAGCAGCCAGTTGGGGCAATAACTGAATATCCAAAAGACTGGATTGCAACAGTGGCAGATGGCCAAATATCTTTCAGGAACAACAGTTATTTTTAAAAGTATTTTCATGACTGAAAGCATCTTGAGTTCAGCTAGCTGTTGTTTACAAGGTGGAGGACACATTTGCAAGCTCTCAAAAAACCTCAAGATGCATAGGTAGAAAATTTGATAGACATTTATACTAGGAAATCAGTTTAACATTAGCATTCAGCCAAAAACTATAAAAGGCATTATTCTGTAGTTTGAACATAACTATTGCAACAATCAGAAAGCAAGAACACTACTAGGAGTTACTGATGACCAGTTACGCCCTATGACCAGGGGATGAGAACAGATTAAAAGCGATACTTCTTAAAACTGCCTGTCTGAGCTGTTGCACGAGTAATCAAAAAAACTGTTCCAGTCAGGAATGATTTAAATGCTCCTTATAAAGAATATCTAAAAATAGTTTCACTCTTTCAATCTTATGCCTGTCTTTATTTTCTTTGCTAACAAATACAGTTGCATCCCCACCCCTAGCTCAACCTTTATGAATTATCTTGTGCTGAAGTCATAATCCTGACTTATGACCTCACACTTGTTGCCATGGCAATGATTGCTCTCCTAAATTCAACTTATGACTTAAGAAAAAGTGAGAATTCAGTGCTACTGAAAGGCTTTGGATCAAGAGGCTTGGAAACTAAAGCTGTCATTTATCCACAAAGGAGATACCATTCAGAAAAGCTTCATGCTCTGATGACATTTATGGTATTAATAGTCACATGGATTTTTTTTTTTTTAATAATTGTGCAGCAAGTAGCTGTTATAGCCCACTTCCCAGCCACAGAGCACAGACACCATGGCTGCTATATCAGATCCACATGCTCGCGCCCTAAAAAGTCCTTTATTCATTTCAGCAGGATGACTCATTGCAATAGGTATTACTCAAAAGGAGCAAGCATGGCAAAGCAGAGCAAAGGGTCTGGCACATAGGGTATCCTGACAGCTTACCCCATGTCTCCAGTCTCAGCTGCACTGTTCTGTGTGGTCCTTTAACTTGGGCAAAATGTTTACTGTACTGACTCAGGTCTGTACGTATCCATTTCTGGCCTGGTTAAAAGCTGCAGGGCAGCAGCAGATTCCCCAACATCTTAAACCTCTCTGAAAACATTCTCTCAAAATCATCAAACCAGCTTTTATACAACGCCATAATGAGCAACGTTAATAAATACCTATTGCAGTACTTCAAAGGACACGACACCAGAAAACGTAACAGTCAATAATACTATGTTTTAGCTGAACCTTAAGCTGGCTGGTGACATGATGAATGTAGCTCCCAAATGTGGAAAACTCAAAACTCCTCCCAGGGTTAAAGCTGTTTCTCCAAGATGGACAAGACAACAATAAAAATAACACTCCACTTCTGTAGTTAAACGCTTGTTTTGGCTTTTCAGGCCAATTTCTTTATGAAACAGTTAGCCCTGCAAGAGTCTAGGAGCTGGACAGGCAATTCTTCCAGATTTCATCTGCTCTGGTGGAAATTTAGAGCCGACTTTTGCCATGGGGTGGCACCAGGACAAATCCCACCAGAAGGAAAGAGCATAGTGCCGCCAACACAAGGTGGGGCTTGTTTTTCCTTATGTTTAAATGTTTCTCATAGTCAAAGAGGTTTGTTTAATAGAGGAAATATCTTTATAACGAGAACAGACTTTCCACTCCTCCTCTTTTTCCAGTGTTGTTGCCTTCTCTTCAGTTTAATGCTAATGACTCCAACTCTTATGTGTTCAGACTGTGCTGGTGTATCAAGCACAGCAGAAGGGCAAAAATTGCATGAAAGTGCCTATTGAGAAGCATGAACTCAGTTCACCTTCTTAGATGAAAAGGTAATAAAGGTCAATTCTTTTCACTCCCAACATCAGCCTGGAAGACCCACAAGAGAGTTGCCATTCCCTCTCCCATCCCTGCATTTCACTTCATGCCCTGTGATCTATGGTCAGATGGCCTAGGCTAAGCCCTCAGAAAGATAACCCATGGTGCTACAGCAAGTGTCACACTGACCACAAAGCTGCACGTTATCATCATAAAGAACTGATTTACCCTATGATCTTCACAAGGGTCAAAAATGAAGATGTTCAAGTTACTTAGACCCGCACTGACCCCAGCAACGGTTTTGTTGGATACAGATTGCA